CATGACTCGGGTCCAGAGCATTTGTGGGAAGCCCTCCCCCACTTCTGTCCTCATGTTCAAGTGCCCCCTCTGAAGGCACCAGCTTGTCACAGGGGTGGTGGTCCTGGTCCTGGGGGTGGGCTTCCCTCTTGGGTGAGGTTGAGCCAGGGGTCCCATAAAATGGCTTTTCCTGGACTGCTAAGATTTCAGCCTGGGCCTGGCCCATGTGACTCAGTGGTTGAGTGTCGACCCATGAACCAAGGGGTCCCTGGTTCAATTCCCGGTCGGGGCACGTGTCTGGTTTGCGGGCTCCATCATCAGTAGGGGGCATGTAGGAGGCAGCTGATCGATGATGTTTCTCTCTCTCACTGAAGCTTCTATCTCTCTATCCCTGTCCCATTTTCTCTCTCTAAAAACCAATAAAAACATATTTAAAAATATAAGCGTTCAGCCTGGGTGTGCCAGCAGGAAACCCTGCCTTCGGGCCATCAAATCCCACCCTGCTGCAGTGCGGAGAGGGTGGCGGTGCGGTGCCCCGGGTCTGCAGAGGGGGCGGGGCTCCGCCCTCCCCACCTGCCTGTGACAGGCCTGGGCTTGCTTCTCAGGCACATGAAGGAGAAGGGCCTGGTGAGCGTCCAGCGCCTGGCAGCCTGTCACCCGGAGGTCCTCGCTGGGAGGCTGCACGACCTGTCCTTGGCCGTGACTGGAGAGGTGAGGCCTCCCAGACAGCCTATGTCCTGTGCACCCTGCCCACCCCCAGCCTGTCCCCTTCCCTGGGGCTGCTGTTCAAAGTGGGTCACAGAACAGCCACGGAGAAGCCATGGCTCCTTGGACCAGGAGCATCTCCCACTTATTTCTCAGCCCTCAGCCCTCAGCCACTAAGGTGGGAGGTAGCCACCCATTTCTCAGATTAGAAAACTGAGGCCTGGGGTTTCCTTATTTCTATGCCATCGGCCTGCATTGTCCTCTGTACTCAAAATGCCAGAGGAGGGATGGAGTGTCCTGGGCCAAGTCTCCAACTTCAGGGTGGTTGTAACATTTCCCAAGCCCTTTCTCCCAGGGGCTGGTGCTGGGCTGGGCTGGGCGTGGCTGGGCCCAGATGGGCAATAAGATGCATCTCATCGCAGATGGAGGCCATGGCCCCCAACCCCTTGGGAATAGATTGTTGCAGTGGGGGGGCCTTGTGAAGATCAAATTGAACATCTATACTAATAAAAGTGTAATATGCTAATTAGACCGGATAGACTGGATGTCTTCTGGACATCCTTCCGGACAAAGCCACAGTGGCTGCGAGGGCTGAGAAGGGCCAGTAGTGTCAGCAGCAGCAGGGTGATAGGGGCAGCACCTTCCCCTGATAGGCCCAGTTGCCTCCCGCAGAGGGAGACCAGGCTGCGGCTTAGGTCCGCTCCCCATCAGTAGGACATCCCCTGAGGGTTCCTGGACAGGCCGGGCTGAGGGACACCCCCCCCCCGCCCCAGTGCATGAATTTTCATGCACCAGGCCTCTAGTTATTTATAAAAGTACTTGGAAGACTGTTGTACAAATTTCAGCTGATAATGATGGAATTAGTCATTATGATGATAACAACAGTAATAATATTTTTAAAAATGGGACAAAATATTGCCCAGAGCTGCTGCAGCCTAGGAGGCCTGGGCCTGAGGTGAGGGTGGAGGCACAGGTGGGGGTGCAGTGCCCATTCTTGGAGCCCCTGACAGGGCCGAGCAGTGTGGTTCCTCTCCCATCTCTCCCCGAGGTCACCAACCTCCGCTCCAAGGTGTCCCGCTTGGCCATCCGCGTCCTGGGAGACCTCTTCCAGGCCTTGAAGAAGAATATGGACCAGGAGGCGGAAGAGATTGCCCGCTGCCTGCTGCAGAAGATGGGCAACACCAGCGAGTTCATCCAGAGAGCGGCCAACCGGTCCCTGGGGGCCATGGTGGAGCATGTGACCCCTGCCCGATCCCTGGCGGCCCTCACCTCAACGGGCATCTAGTATGTGGCAGCCAGCTGTCTGAGGGGTGGGGGTGGCCCAGGAAGGGGAGGGGAGGGGAGGGGCCTGGGGTGGGAGAGGAGGGGACTGAGCAAGTGCTTCACACGTGCAGCTGGGGGAGCTCCTGGTGGGGGCTGTCCCACCTTCTGGAGCCAGGTGAGGAGACCTGGCAGACAGGGAGGGGTGCTTTGTTCTGTTCAAAACTGAGGAGTCCTAGTGGCAGAGCTAACATCCCCAGAGACGCTGCAGAGGCAGCCTTCCGCCTGTTCAGGGGACGGGCATTTCTGATGAAATCTGGGCCGTCGGAGAGCAAGGCACACTCTCCTCTTCAGCGGCACCGCTCGGCCTTCTGGGGAGGAGAATGGGGCTCACTGCTACGGCGGCCGGATTTGCTTTTCCCTCGTAGAAAAACCCAAACCAAAAGCAAAACCTAAAGCATTTCTCAAGCCCTTTCTCCTGCCGCCAGCAAAACAGCTTTCAACCACAAGCCAGCCGGGACGCTTCTGCAGGGAGGCCCTCAGGCAGACCCGGGCGGTGAGCAGGCAGCCGGGCTCTGGGCGCAGCCCGTGCAAAGGGTGAGGGGCTCCCAGCCACGTTGCCCGGGTTCACATCCTGGTGGCTTAACTGCCCTGTGCCTCCATTTCCTCATCTGTGAAATGGGAATAATAAAATTGCTGTGAGGAGTAAACGAATGGATTCATGGAAGAGCACTTAGTACAGGGTCTGCCTCTACCTGACCTTTGTCCATTGCTCACTGTGGCTCTTATTAACTTGGGACAAATTAATTGTACGTTTTCCTGGATTCTTCCCTTTGCCTCAGCTTCCTCACCTGCAAGATGAGGATAATTGTAGCTTATGAAGTTGAGGAGATAATGGTTTGAAGGTGCTCAGAGGTAGGGTGCCAGGCACAGAGGGTGCCCTCACTACAATCTGAGATGATTGATTATTGTTGTGGGAACGAGGGTCAGGTGTCCTCGGGGGAGCCTGGAATTCCTGGGGGTCCTGCTACAATGCAGATTCTGACTCAGATGCTAATGGTGCCAGTGTCCGGACCACACTGACTAGGGAGAGCCCAGGAGGGGCGGGGGAAGGGGCCAGTGCTGCCTGATAGACTCTGGACTTGAAGACCCTGCTTGGAAAGGTGAAAAGGAAGAGGTGACATCCTGATGGGGCTCTCTCGTAAGATCTCAGGTCCCCTGTGTTAGGATTCCAAATCCCCACCAACCCCGTCCCTCCCTCCTGTCTCAGTTCCGCTCAGTAGATGTGCAGTAAGCTCCCACGGACTGTTGGCATGTGCCAGGCACCAGTGGGCGGGCACTGGGGATTCAACTGAGAGGGAGACTAGTTGCCCACTGCCCGGGAGCTCCAGCCTGACTGGGGGCCGCAGGGCTGCACCTGTGCATGGCGAGGACAGGGGCAGTGCTCCCCCCGGGAGTGGCTAGGTCTGCCTGGGGGCCGGGGAAGGCAGAGATGCTGATTGGGGAGGACCTTTCTTGGTGGAGAAAGATGGGGATGAGCACTTAGGCCAGGGGTGGGGAACGTCCGGCCTGCGGGCCGTATAAGGCCCACGAAATCATTTGGTCTGGCCCTGCCCAGGCATTAGGGGTGAGTTAATAAAATGTTTGACCAAACACAGCAGGAAAAATTTTAAGCTGATAATTTTGTGCGGCCCACAAATGATGTTATAAATATCCAAATGGCCCTTGGCAGAAAAAAGGTTCCCCACCCCTGATGTAGACAAAGGCAGACTGTGACGCAGGAAGGCGCGGAGAGCGGCGGGCACAGGCGTCTCTAGGGAGCACCAAGTGGCTTCCCTTGTTCTTGCCTGTCCCCCTGTGGTTGTTGTCAACTTCAGTTCCATTGTCAGGAAGGGTCTGCTCTTTCCCCAAAGATTCTCCTCAGCCCACACGGGACAGGATTTGGGGGCCATCACGGCATGAACATGGATGCACAATTGTAGGTCCATGTGGGCCAGCCTGGGGACCCCCTCCCCTTCCTTGACTGAGCCTTGACGGCGCCGTGTTTTCTCTCACCCACAGAAACCCCTTCGGTCCGGAGATGCACTGCCGGAGCACCTCGCGGGCCGTCCTGGAGCAAAAGGCGCTGAGAAGTTCTCTCGGGACCCAGGGAAAAGCACGGGACAGGCTGCTAGGCAAACCTGGTCCGGGTTGGCCCAGACTTCAACCAGGACACCCAGGTGAGGAGCAGGGGCGCCTGGGGACTGCTGACCGGGCCGTGCAGGGCAGATGGGGCAACCAGCCAGCCCTGGCCCTCACAGCGCGGCTTCCCCGGGGTCATGGGGAGGGACAGATGGATGGACGGAGCGGTGTCCTTTCCTTACAGCGGTCCCATCTCCCCAGCATCATAGCCAGGCTGCTCAGGGAACGGTCAGCACTCCCACCCCCACTGCCCACCTTCCTTCTCTCTCCAGCCACAGTGACCTCGCTCTTCTTCCTGTCCCACCCCAGCTCCCTTCTCTGTCAAGACTCAGTATTCATTTTTTCAATAGATCGTTAAGGAGCACTCTTTTCATTATTCTGGCAATGACCGTGAATAAGAAAAATTAGGCCTTGGCTGTCTTGGAGTTTTCCTCCTAGTGGGGTAGACGAACAATAAACAAATAAATAATTGTGGTAATTTTAGATACAGGTAAGGGATAAAGAGGAAAAAACAAGATGTAATGGAGAATGGGGTGGGGGCTATGTTAGACTGAGAGTTGGGGGGATCTTTCTAAAGAGGGACATTTGAATCGAGAGCTCGGCTCTTTGAGGATTTGGGGTGGGAGTGTCCCAGGCAAAGGCAATGGTACCAAGGCCCATGGATGGGACTAAACTGGGTGTTCATGGAAGACCAGGGCCAGGCTGGGTGGAGCAGGGAGTGGCAGGCAGTGTGGGTGATGAGGCAGAGGGGGCAGGGCCAGGCCAAGGAGGGCCTCCCAGGCCACAGTCAGAGGTTGAGGTTTTGGTTTGTGTGTGACCGGAGCCACTGGAGGAGTTTTAGTAGGAACGTGAGGCAGCTAGACGATGCTACGCAGGAGAGTGATGGGCTCGGATTGATTGGCTTTCAAACCTAGGGTTGGGGTCCAGTTAATCACACTCAGCTCACAGCCCGCTGTTGCCATGTCTGCAGACTGCACCCCACGTGGTACAGTTCTAGAGGCGCATCCATCCTGGGTCTCTAATTTTTATTGATCTAACGGGTAACAGTGCCAGCTCGCTATTGCAGAGTGCTTTTTCCCGGTTACTAGTTTGATAGTTTCTTTATATGCTTGCTAGCCTTTTACTAAAAAACAAGCAAGCCAACACCCTGGCTGCTCATTGGAGGATTGATAGTGGGGAGTGGAGCCGGGATGGAGGAGGTCACGGACTGATGGCTACCCCATGGCCCAGGCAAGAAGGGCTGTCGGCTGCTGCGTGAAGGGAGGTGGATTGGACTAGGGTTAGGGCATCGCCGACAGGAGGTTGGCTTTCAAAGAGGGAGCAACGATGACATTGAGGTTTGTAAACGAACAACCGGGTGAATGGTATTACCTTTTACTGACATGAGCAATACTGTCAGGGGAGAGAAGGTTTGGGTGGTTTGTTTTAACTGCCGCGGGGGATGGAAATCAAAGTCTAACACCCTCTCCCTCTGACCTTCCTTTCACACTGGATCGTGCTGACTGCACTGCTTTCCTTCCTGGAACCGTAGGCTTCTCGGCTTCCACAGCACCTACTCCCTGGTTCTCAATGTCCTTCTGTGGCCATTTCCCCACCCTCCCTGCCTTCGGAATGTCGGCGGCCACATTCTTTAGTGTCTTTAGTCCTCGTTCCCCTCGTGTGACTCTCTCTGAAAGGTGCCATCACTTCCGGTGGCTCCAGCCACAGGAAACTCTGATGCTTCCCAACTTCTGGCTCCAGCCCACACCCTTTCAGGGCCATATCTCTGGTGCCTCCACAGGACCCATCAGCAGGATGTCCAACTGCCGTCTTCAAGTGCAAAGTGCTCCTAAATGAACCCCTTGCCTTCTCCCCAAGCCTGCTGCTTCCCTCTGTTGTTAAAAGTCACTATTATTTACTGAGTCATCTGAGATGCAGAATGGGGAATTTCATACTTCATTGATTCTAAGACACACATTTCCTCCCCACATCTTAATGTCTTACAATCAGGCAGCTCACAGTTATTGACCAGGGAGCAATTATGACCTAGGTTTTACTATCTGCACATTTGCAAACTTGGTCATTGCTGCTCATGGTATAAACCTTTGAATTAAAACCCGCACTGTAGGAATTGCACTAAGAGGCTCTCTTTGCTTGTTAGCCTTTCCTATTTATTTTAAGAAGACATCATGGATGCTCTGTGGGGAATTGTTGAGTTTAATTGCTGTTTAAAATGTCTTAGAAATATTATACTATTACTTGGCCTCGAAATGAAAAGTTACTGCATATAAGGCATGGAAATAGAGTGATGGGATATAAATTAGATATTAATGCAAACATTCATCACTGAAGGAATGACCAAAATTCCGCATTTTCTTGCAAAGCCGCCGGCAGTACTGTACCCTCCCCTTAAGTACTGCTCCCTTCCGTTGCTGAGATCCCCTGCGAAAGGGCTGTCTTCGCACGTGCGGCAGCATCATTGAAGGCAGCGAACGTGGCCAGTGTTTTCTTTTTCTGTTTTTCCTTAGTGGAAAATAAGTTAATGGTGCATTTTACAATCAATAAAGTCTTCAGTTGAGCAAAATAGGGCCATTTCAATGTTTCATGCTCTACCTCCAGTCAACTACCAAGTCCTGCAGTTTCAACTTCCTTAGCAGCTCTTGAATCTGATTACCCCCACTCTACTGCCTCACTCCAGGCCTTTATCCTTTCTTGTCTGGACTGTTATAGTGGCCCCCAAATCGGTCTCCGACCCTAGCCTTGTCCTCAAAGATCCGTCTTCCACACTGCTCACAGTGCAAATTGGTTCCCCCCTTAGCTTCCCAGGGAATGTGGGCTAAAGTCCAACTCCTCACCTTCTCCCTAAACTGGTCCCACCCCTCCTCCAGCCTCCTCTGTTCCAGAGTTCAGCCCTGCCTGCCTTTCTCCAGGTACATGCCTGCTGATGTGTCAGGCTGTCTTATGGATCTGAGAATGCCCCCCTCCTCCCATTTACTCCCCAATCCTGTCCCACTTGTGAACTCCTACTTATCTTTTGAATCCCAACCCGAGGATCACCTCTTCTATGAAGCCCTCCTTGATTTCCTGCCCCACATACCACTCACTATTCACCAGAAAGAGTTGACCACTTCCTCCTATTCTGCCCCACTGCGCCTTTCCTCAGATTTCTAAATACCTGTACTAGAAAAAGTTTGGTATAGCCATCCAATGGAATATTATAGAGTCATTAAAAAGGGTAACATGGGAAGATGATTAATGATAAAGTAAAAAAAGTTGTATACAAGTTGTATATACATTCTGATATCAACTAAATGTATATAAATTGGAAAAAGATGATGAGAAAACATGTCAAATTTGTAATAGTCGTTTTCTCTGTAATGGGAATGGTGCTTATTTTTGTATGAATCTAGTCTTTAAATAAGTAGGGATCATTGTCATAATTAGTAAAAGTATTGAAACCTCTCTTACTATAATTAGAAAGCTGTGCGAAGTTGTACAGCAACTTTACGATATGTTTCTGTGGCTGTTTCTTCATCTTGCTCTTCGTCCTGTGGCAGGTTTTATGGCCGGAAGATGGTGAGTATCTTGATGTCGAACGCCAAGTTTGATGCATTTCTGAAGCAGTGCCTGCCATCCCACGACTTGCGGAAGGTCATGGCGGCCATTAAACAGCGGGTGAGTTGGTGGGTGTGATGTGTGTTGGGTGGGGGACCAGAGCTGAGACTGGCAGCCCTCACGCAGGTCAGGGGGTAGGGGGCTGCACTTGGAGGCTTTTATTTCACCCAGGACTCCTGCTGGGTGAGGCCAGAGTGATTTCCTTATCCTCTACTTGGCCTGGTTCTGCCCCTCTCTGCCTGTGTCCCTTGAGCCTCCCTGGGCCTCCACATCTCCATCCGTGAAATGGGGATCTTGACCCCCAATACTTGGCCCTGACTACCAGCACTCTGGGAGGCTCAGCTGTGCCCTGGGAGGCCTCCAGGGGGAGAGGTTAAGGTCTAGGCTGGACTATCTGGCACTTCCCCAGAGGCTGCTCCTTCTGGTTCACGCTCTATGTGTATTTTTCAAGGGACTAGAAGAGAGTGATGAACTGCCGTCTGCCAAAGGCCACAAGGTGTCGAGGAGTCTGGCCGTGTGTGAGAACGGGCTGCCCGGTGAGGACGGGTACGGCCACTCTTGTCTCCCTGGGGCTCCACCTTCAAGATGCCGATGGGGCAGCCAGGGTGGCTCTGGCCGGGAGTTAGAAACCAAGCAGGAATCTGAAGGTCACTCCTGTGCCTAACACAAACTCCTGGGAGGACCCATCTGATCTCCTTAGCAGGGACCCAGGGAAGCCCACCCCCGCTCCAAGAGTAGCTTCCTGTTCTCTCCCACGTGTCCTCTGGGCCAGACCTGAGCAGCCGGGCTCCCGGCCCCTTCTCTTCTCTCTCCCTGCTCTGCCTTTGCTTCTGCTGGTTCTTTGCCTTGTGTGGGCCGTCTGCACCTAGAACAAGCCTGTTTATTCTACCAAATCCCACGAGATCCAGCTCGCCTGCCACCCTCTCCCAGGAGCTCTATCTGACACTCTGTGTCCCCACGACCTCTGGGGGACAGATCATCCCCATCCTGCAGTCCTCTGTCAGCCATGGACTTAGCCGTCCTGTCTCCCACAGGTCTGCGAGCCCTTAGGGCAAGACCATCTCTCATCTCCTTGTTCTCAGCGCCCTGCACAGGTCTTGGTGCTAAGAAGACAGAGAGTGGAATGTAGGAATGAATGACAGAATGGTGTTGGGCTCTGCCGGTGGAACTCGGGTGCAAGGCATGAGCTCAGAAGAGCGAGGCTTTGAGCTGGGATGGGGCTAGAGTTCTGTATGGAGCTGCTCTCATTCTGGCTGGAACGGGCCAGGGGGCATAGGGGGCATGTGATCTCAGCCTAAGAGAACAGGACCTTTTAACATCGTCCCAGTTACTGGAGGACTGTGAGCAGGGCCTAGACAACCAGGGGGCAGGATTCAGGCCCCTGGCAAGATCTTCCCCGACCCTTAGATGAAACGTGCCCCAGTTATCCTTTTGTGATTCCGCCCCCTCACTCCAAGCTTTCTCCTCCGTCCTTCACCTGCCTGCTGAAAGGAAAAGGCAGAAGAGAGAGCTCTGCTCCCCTGGGGCTCTAGGCAACCATTTTGTTGTCCCCGGAGGAAGGGGCCTGGGATACGGTGTGTCCATGCCCCGGCTGCCCAGGTCAGCTGCTCCTTCTGCTTAGGCTCAGCTCCAATGGCCCGAGGCTGGCGGGGCTGCGCTCTTCCCGGCGGGGTGGCTCGGAGATGGCGGAGCAGCTGCGGGAGCTGACACAGCTGCTGGAGGCCAAGGACCACCAGTCTCGGATGGAAGGTGTGGGGCGGCTCCTTGAGCACTGCAAGGCCAAGCCGGAGCTCATCACCGCCAACCTGGTCCAGGTGAGCCTGCCTCCCCCCACCTTCCCCCCGTCTCTCCCCATGGGTGCAACTTCAATTAGGAAAACTCTGAACAGGGTTAGACATTGGCCAGACCCCTCAGGGAAAAGGGAGCCCAACAAGCATTTGCTAGCCAGTTGCCTTGGTAACGCTCTAAGACTACTTGGAAGTGGCCGGAGGGATGAGGGCACTGCCTCTTACCAGGCACCGTGGGACCGCTCAGAAGTGTCCCGGGCATCTCGCAGCCCTCTTGTGGGGAGGAGGGCAGGAGTGAAGGGTGCCGTGGCCAAGGGCGCTGCTGGTCCAGCTATGTGCATGACGTTTCGGGGCAGAGCATGCAGTTGGCCAGGAGACGGGGCCAGGATGGGTGAGGAGCAGGCACAGGCTGGAAACCAGAACAGATGCCTGCTTCTTCCAGGAGGAAGGCTGCTGACAGCCAAGCCACATGGCGAGTGGCTGAGACACAGGCATGGAGGCAGCAGGCCTGGGCTTCCTTTCTTCCTGGCTGTGTGAGCTGGGCCAGTGATTTCACCTCTTTCAGCCTCAGTTTTTGTTTTTAATGGCAAAGTGAGGATGAGAACACAGGCCTGCCGGGTTGTTAAGATCATCCCAGGAAAGAGAGAGTGAGGGTACCTGACAAGATGCTCTCAAACTGGGCACACGAGAGCTCAACGTGGGGTCGTCCTGCCCTCCGGCACGCCCCACCCCTTTGAGGCAGCGCACTCTTGGCCACTGAGTGTTCTGGCCCAGGTTGGATGATGCCTGTCAGGGCCGCAGGGGCCCCCGGCCGAGGTGGGTGGCTGGGCTGTGAGACTCCTGCCCGCCTGGTTCCCACGGGCTCTTGGTTTCTGTTCTCTCAATAGGTCTTCGATGCTTTCACCCCAAGGCTTCAGGATTCCAACAAGAAAGTGAACCAGTGGGCGCTGGAGTCCCTCACCGAGATGATTCCCCTCCTCGGAGAGAGCTTGCACCCCATGCTGCTCTCCATCATCGTCGCCGTTGCAGACAACCTCAACTCCAAGAACTCGGGGATTTATGCTGCCGCTCTGTCTGCACTGGACGCGATGATCGAGAGTCTGGGTGAGCCTCCTGCCGTGGTCCCACTTGGCTCTGGTGGGCAGCTGGCTCCCTCCCTAGTGCCACCCTGGGCTGGGCCCACCCTTCCTGCTTGGCCATCGGCAGAGTGGTGAAAGGCACGGGTTCAACGTTTTCCCAGAGGCTGTGTAGGGCACGGGTCGGTGGCCTAGGGCCTGCGAAGTTCTTGGTTAGCTGCTTTTCCACGTCCCATCCACCTGCGTGTCTTAGATGGTGAAACTGGGGGAGACGTGGAGATGATGTCGTCTTGCCTCCGTTAGCACACGCGACGTAAATGACTCACCCAACGTCACATGGCGCCCCAGAGTGAGCCAGCCAGGTATTGAAGGAAAAACAGGTCAGGATTGCCAGGAAGGAGTTGGGAAGAGCTGTCAAGAATTGTCTTAGTTGTGGACATGGCAGCAGTGAATGTGGCTCGTATGGGGACCAGGCGGATGCTGGTGAGACCGCAGGGCGAGCCTGTTGGAGAGGACCACGCTGGCGGGCAGGCAGGCCTGGAGGGCTGGCCAGCTTGGTCGTCTGGTGCAGGAGGCAGGCCGGGGTCCCACTGGCTTTTTGAGTGTGAAATAGCTGAGAGCTGCCTTTTAACAACACTGCCTGGGGCCAGAGCTTCGGGTGTGAGGGGTTTGGTGTGAGGGGTGGGGAGTGACATTGGAATAGGGTTGGGGGAGGAATGAAAAGAAAAAGCGGAAGGAGCTATGGGAGAGACGTCAGGAAAGGCAGGGGCTTCCCAGTTCCCTGCGGGCTTTGCAGTATCACATCTTGGCCCTTGAACATCAGGTGGCATTTTGGTGCATAGACTTGGGTTCTCAGTCCTTTATAGAGTACTTGAGGGTGCTATTTAGTGTATCTAGTACACAGGCTGACGTGCAAGGTCAAACCTCCCAGGGTATGCGAGAATGTAGGTCACGCTTAGACTTATGTCCCAGCCAGGAGTGGAGCCGTGAGTTTTCACAAGCCAGTCTTGCCTTGATGCAAGAAAGCGTAGGATCTGGGAACTGTTGCTGTTTGCCTGTTGCTTGGTGTACGTTCTGATGAGTGCAGAGCAATGTACTCTCTTTAGCACTCACAGAGCATCCCCACAGTGAGGCTGGGACCTGGCCTGGCCCACACACTCCCCCCACCTCATCCTCGCGTCCTAGCCTGGGCCCAGCATCGTGTCCTTGGCTGGAGCCTCCAGGAGAAGTTTCAGTTACAAATCAAACGCCCGTCCAGGCCCTCCTCCGCCTTTCAAGTTCATAAATATTGTCAATTTCCTCCCTTCATCTCAGAGGGAATTTATGATTTGCTGGGTTTGTCGCTGTAGAACAAATAATATAAATCCAGCTCTAAATTATGGCTTGTTCTCAGGGCTGCTGTGGGTAAGTGAGATTGCTGTTGCCAATAACCGAGGCTCCTGGTAAATCATCGCAGGCCCTGGATTTATTGGGAAAACCCACACCAAGCACAATAGGCTTTAGCTATTTGAAGAGGAAAGCACCCTTGTCTGAGGAGAGATTTAACTCTTCCTTTCCGGTTTTGCCACCGGGCCAGCTTCGGGCTGCGGAAGCTAGAGTCTCGCATTATCATAAGACGCAGGTCCCCTCTCCTTGGGGCCCCACCATATGCACCTGGGCTGGGCACCCTGGAAAGCGCCCTGGGGAGGGTCTGCTTTTGTGAGCTGGCCACACCTGGAGGCAGGTTGCAGGTTTCCAGGAGGATGCCTAGGATTCTCATTTCCTCCTGGGACAGGGTGTCCTCGAGTGTGGCTGACGGTGTCCCCTCTGGCCCATCAGCTCAGGCACTGGGTGCAGGGAGCCTGGAAGCAGGTGGGAGGGGAACTTCCTCTCTGCTCCTTGGGTCAGGGCGAGGCTGGACTGCAATGGGGTTGGCCTTGGAGGGATGGAGGAGTCCAGTGAATCCCTGGCAAAGGCTCCCATGGGGCCCACAGCGTGAAGCTCTGGGTCTTGGCTCCGCGTCATTTGAACAGGCGTGGCAGTGGGCGCTCAGGGCCGCGTGGCTTTGCTGTGAGCCGTACCCTCTCCGCCCCACCAGCAGCATTGGTTTTGGAAGAACTATTCACTAGGAAGTGATGAGCCGAGTCCCATATCCACCTAGGTCAGTGGTCGGCAAACTCATTAGTCAACAGAGACAAATATCAACAGTGCTTCTTCAAAATAGACTTGCCCAGGCCGAAAACTGACTTCTGCACATGGGCCATGAAGTTTCAATCGTACTATACGTGCGCCCACACGTGGTATTTTGTGGAAGAGCCGCACTCAAGGGGCCAAAGAGCCGCGTGTGGCTCGCGAGCCGCAGTTTGCCGACCACAGACCTAGGTCAGACCTGAGGGATTTAGGTTGCCAACAAGAAGAATTCATCTCTGCCGGGGTGTGCCCATGGTAGACACACTCTTTCCAGGAGGGGTTCACATGTCTGGAATGGTCACGCCTGGTCTGCAGAGGGTGAAATGGAGGCGATAACTAAACTTCCCCCTGACCCAGGGCTTTGGGTGGTAGAAGCAGGGTTGGGGCAGGTGGCACAGAAGAGAGGGGTGCACATCTTCCTTCCCACGTCACCCAGGCTGAGCCTGGTGGCCCTGGTGGTTCCGGGTGGGGGGGGGGGCCTCGGCACCCTGTGGCCCCTCCTGGGAGTGGCTCAGAGCCCTTTGAGCAGAGGGAGCTCTCGCCCAAGCCTGGTCCTTCTGCCCCACAAGGGATTCTGGGCCCCAAGCTGCAGAGCATCCATGCAATGCTGTGAAGTACTTAAATGTGAAAAGTCACAAAGCAACAGCTGAACAGGCTGTGTTCACTTCCTGCTCTGCCGGGCCAAGGGGGTCAGGAGCACAGCCACGTTGGGGGGCTGGCCTCTTGGGCTGCGTCTTAAGACCCCTCTTCATTCTGGAAGTCAGTGATCAAGGTGACTCACCAGCCACGACACCTCTTCTAGCTTTCAGGACTTTTTAGGGACAGGAGGTGTGTTGATTACAGAGCAGGTGGGATTTCTGTCCCTTCCCGCCTTTGAGGAGATGGCGAGGAAGGAGACACATTGCTCCCTGACCTCTGCCCTTCGGCCCTGCCTGCCTGGGGGATTCTCCAGGGCGAGGCCGGAGTGGCACCTGATTTTAGGGGCATTAGTCTGAGTACTGAGGCAGTTCCTGAGCCAGTGGCTGGTTCTTTGGGCTCGGTCCTGGGTGACTCACAGCAGGAGCGTCACTCACTGAAGCACCAGACGGCTGACAGCTCACCTGCTCCCGGTCAGACCCGCACATTCAGGCTTCTGAGCGCCCAGCGTTCTGTCAATTCACCGCAGCCCCTGGCCAGAGAGAGATAAGCTCGGAAATGGGTGGCTTCAGATCCACTTGGGCTATTTTTCTCTCTGACTGGAAACTTATTACCTTGTATAAGTCATGTGACCAACATGATGTGTTCATGGAATTTACAAATTCATCCGCGGTGCCCCTCTAATACACCAGTGCTTGAGGACATCCCTTACCTTCTGTGGTCTGCGTGCACACAGATTTCCCTGGTTATAGACCATAGTGTAAGTACAGTTTTGACTTTGCGTCTTTCATTTAACACGACCCAGTTTCCCATGCCATTATGCAGTCTTTCTAGTTAATTTAAAAATGTAAAGTGTACTTTCCACCACTGTAAAAGTATACTTATTAGTTATTGAGGAAATAAAAATGCAAAGCATCTGGAGGGGAAAAATCTACTTACAGTCCCAGCTCCTAAAATAAACCATCATTAACTTTTGGCGTTTTTCATTATAGATATTTTTCTGGGCCTGTTTGTATACATGGCTGTGATTACATTACACATTTGAATCTTTTTTTTAAAAGACAAAGCACGAGCATTTACGTATCATTACACACTTGAGTCACTGCGCAGCTCCGTCACCTGCTACACCATCGCTCGCACTTCCTGTTTAGGTGGCTCTTTCCAGTTTTTCCTTGTGATGAACAGACTTAGTTTTGGCAGCCACAGGGAAGGTGGCTGTGTGACATCACAACTTACTGAGCTGATTGTGTGGTGACATCATAACTCTTCAGCTTATTGTCAGGAGTCCAGTTTGATTCTAGTTTTTGCTGCTGTTGTTCATATGCCACCATGTTTTCTATACTTTTTTAAAAAAAACCACATATATTTTTATTGGTTTCAGAGAGGAAGGAAGAGGGATAGATAGAAACATCAATGATGAGAGAGTGTCATCATTGCCTCCTGCACGCCCCCCACTGGAGAGCCGGAAACCCAGGCATGTGCCCTGACTGGGAATCAAACTATGACCTCCTGGTTCATAGATCGACGCTCAACCACTGAGCCACGCCGGCCGGGCTGCAAGCATTTACTGAGCATCTGTTGTGTGCCAGGCCCCTGGGTCCATGCTCTGGAGTAGGTGTCTGCTGGACGTGCATTTTTCAGCGTTCCCCAAGTTCTTTCTCCTTTCCTGCTCTGGGAGGCCATGTCAGTGGCCAGGAGGGGGAGGTCCAACTGCATCCAGAGAATGTTCTGGACTGTGAGGTGGGGGGAAGGGGCAGCATGGAGGGAGAAGTCCTTGTGCTCAGAGGTGAGCTCATGGCTGATGGGGGAGGCGGGGATAGAAACACCCGCACACAATAATGCAGGTGATGACATAAAAATTTATACAATTATGGCTTTACTGAGACACCCTGAGACCACTTCTCGCAACCTGCAATATTCTCTTTTACCTCCCAGCGCAAATTATTTTCGAGACTCTTGTCTCATAAGACAAGAACTTTTGGAAGCAGCAGAGAGTACACTTTCTCCTCTGTATACCTTACAAGTCTCAGGAAGAGAGCGAGGGAAACAGGAATTAGCTCTTGCTAGAATGGCCACCTGATGGAAAAAGAAAGCTTTGATTGCATGCCAGTGGGGATACGGAGACCCTGTGCTGAGGTCCTGCAGGAGCTCAGAAAAGTGTAACTCGCCTGAAAAGATTTCCTCAGGCAGGTCCCTAAATGCTGTCCCCTGTAAAGAGAAATCTGGCCTCGAGATGGTCAGCTCTGGGATCCCGGGACGTACTGGCTGGGGTCTGCCCTGGTAGCGCCTCTCACCTCCCAGACCCTCAGCCACATTCCTGAAAAGTGCATTTTGTTACTGGTTCCACCTCCCATTGGATTGTGCTATGGCTGCTATGGCTGCTGTGGTCGCGAAATGTTGGGGGCCGGGTGTGCCGGCTGCCTCCGGGGTTCATGCAGAGGCAGTCGGAGGGGAAGGAGACTGGTCCGACCTTGTGTGTGTTCTAGATTCGTGTCCCTTCCTTGAGCGAGGGGACTTTCCTCACCTTATGTGTCTCTGTGAGGGACGCAGGATTCCAAGTTCAATTGTCTGAGAAGCCAGGAGACATCCGCTAGCATGGGGAAGAACGAGCAGCTTCTAAACTCAGTCCCCGTGGGGCCCTGCGGGAGCTGACTTTAGAAACACATCAGAGAAGGCCGGAGACTCGCCTCTTTATCCCGGAACACCGCCTCCCCAGCCCCTGTGATTTTACCACCAGTGGCTCCTTCTGTAATAACACAAGGGCCTCCAAGGGCCTCTTCCCCACATGGGTGCTGTGGGTGCCTGGCGCTGAGCTGGCGCCCTTGCTCAGGCCACAGCATCACGGCCACGGCCACCCTCCCTCTCTTCCAGACGACCTCTGCCTCCTGCAGACGTTTGCTGGGCGGGTGCGCTTCCTCAGTGGCCGCGCAGTGCTTGACATCACGGACCGCCTGACAGGTGAGCAGCCCCCAAACATGCCCCCCACCCTCAGGTCAGTCTCTACGCTCCTCCCCTGGCATGTGGTTGAGCCCACTTGTCTTAGACCAAAACTAATTCCAGACCATTTACAATTTTTGATAATCTGGGTTTTAAAGATAACCCCTCCATGGCCAGAAGATGATCTTTGCATTTGGTCAGAATGAAGCAGGTTGGCACATAACTGGAACAGTTCTTCAGAAACCACGATGCCTGTCTTCCTCTCCGCCACGGGCCTTCGGGCACCTGGTCCCGCCTGGGCAGACCCCACCTTGCGGTCCAGGGCTTGGCCAGCAGCAGCGTGGTCCTGACAGTTAGGGAAAGCTGCCTCTCCTTCGCATGTGCAGCTGGTGAGTGGGCTGGATTTCAACCCCACTCAACCCCCCGGCCAGCTGCTCGGGGCTGTGTTATGTACAGATGGGGCCTGGGCCTGAGTCGGCTCTGCCTTGCTCAAGCTTCAGCCGGGAAAGCCTGCGCCAAGCTTGTCGGCTTTGAGTGCACAGCATTAGCCTCAGTGATTCCATTCCAGGCCCGAAACCTTCTCCTGTGGCCCTGGAGGAGGCAGCATGGGAAGGACACAGGCTTTGGGGGGACAGGCCCGTTAGCCACCGGCCAACTCTGACCTTGGGCAGGTTGCTGAGATGGTTTGACCATCTTGCTTGCTTGCTGGAAGTCTCCTCCCCATCGTAGGGAGGTCCCATCAAGGATAGAGGCAGGACTCGGCCTGCTCTCCGGACTCCCGAGGGCCCCCTAAGATGCAGATGATCATGTCACCCCCCTGCGTGGCTCCCAGCAGTGTTCATGAGAGTGACCCACTCCCCGGAGGGGCCCACACGGCCTGTCTCCGCCTGGCCCTCTAGACTCTGCCCCCTTCCCCACCCCCAGTTATAGGTCCTGGATCACAAATCCTCATAACAACCTCGCAAGGAGGGTGGGGGTTCATGATTATCCCTTTAATAGAAATAAAAAAAACAACAACACCAAAAACCGAAAGCTCAGAAGGTCAAGTGCCCAAGTCCCTGGGCGGCTAATCCAGGATTTGTCCCCAGGAGCCTGGGTGCAGAGCCAACCCTCAGCCTCTGTGCTATGCTCCTCTGCCTGAGCGGCCCCGGCCTTGCCTCCTAGGTGCCAGCATGCCACCCTCCTTAGAGAGGCCGGCCGCCCACGCTCTCACCTCTGCCTGCAAAGCCCTTCTCCCCCCTTCTTCCTCCACCTGGGCGATGCCCACTGCTCTGGCATCACTTCCTCTGCCTCCCTTCTCCCCAGCCCTCCTGCCTGGTTTCATGTGCCTCTAAAGAGCACATCCCACCCTGTGCCCGCCTCCACCTGCTGGCTCAGCCAGCGCCTCACAGCATCGGGCCCTGGGGTGCTCAGCACATGCAGCCTGGCTGCGGGCATCATGCCATCTCCTCCACCGCCCCAGCTCTTCTCCTGGCCGTGCTGCTTGTCCTGGTTTAGTTATCCCAGTGACCTCAGAGTGGCCCCTTACCTTCCATCCAGGTGCCAGGCCTTGCCCAAGCAGGTGAGGCGAGTGAGGCAGGGCTGGGGCCACATGCAGCCACAGTGCGATGCTATGGGTGCCCTGGGGTGAGAACTGGGCCACATAACTAGACCAACCTGGGTACCAGACAGGCAACCCTTTCTGTTGCTCCAAATCAGTATTTTCTGGGTAAAAGCCTTCCTGTCCTTGTATGGGGCCCAGAGGTCGGTGGGCACCCCAATTTAGATGATCTATTTACTATATCTATCCCCCGCCCCCCCAAAGCAAGAGTTTCTATGTAGCTCTTCTGTTAACTAGGTGTCAGTCAGGAACACAGAAGGAGTTCCAATCGACACAGGCTTGGACTAATAATAGCACAGCTTAACACCCGTAAATCTTTTGCTAATTACTTTAGCTGCCTTTTAAGCTTAAGTTTAATGGGGGTTTCTTCCTCATGATGACTCCCAGAAGGGCCACTGCCAGTCTCTGCCAGCCTGAGAGACACATCCATCAGCCAGGTGCCCCCCTCCCTGTACCCGGGGGAATGGGAACTCATGCGGGCGGGATTGATGCCTCCGTGTGTGTGTGTGTGTGTGTGTGTGTGTGTGTGTGTGTGTGTAGTCCAGGGTGGTGGTTGTGGCAGAACAAGGGTGGGAGCTGCTGGGGGCAGGTGGACCCCCCACCCTTTGGTGGAAGCAGGGGGCCCTGCCTGGGCCTGGTTCTTGGGGAAGTTCTCACCCCCATTTGCAGGTGGAGATTTAGGAAACGTTGAGTCTAGGTGTTCAGAGTAGGTAGCTGGCCATACAGTGAGGTTTGGCATCCAGACGCTGGGAATACGCCATTTGAAAGGGTGTCGACTTCTCTCTCGAGTACAAGTTTTCCCTATTTTTGCATGAAGTCTCATGGGTGATAATGCGGATTTAAGCAATACTAGTACCAGTTGTCACCTGCCCGCCTACTTCAGCACTTCACAAACATTTATTATCTAATCTAACAATCTCAAGAGTTTGGTTCCTGATTATGATCTTTACTGATTAGGGAACAGGCTCAGAAAGGTTGGGCGGCTTTCTCAAGCTCCCACCCGCCAGGAAATAGCAGAGGCAGGATTGAATCAGGTGTGCCTGCCTCTCCCTCTCTCCTGGGCTGCTGGGACCCCGAGCACTTCGCCTTGGCCTACCCCTCCCTCCATTAAAGAAAATATTTAAAATGTTATTTTATGACCATTTGGGATAAACACAAATACACACCAGGCTGCATATCTTCAAATTTCCTTCTTCTCATTTTAAAAGAAATTGAAATACAGTGGGGCCTTGACTTACGAGTGTCCCGACTAATGAGTTTTTTGAGATACCACCTGTCTCTCAGCCGATTTTTTGCATTGAGTTGATAGAGTAATTTGAGTTAAGGAGCTCCTTAATGAGCTCGGTCTCGCAACGAATTAAACTCGTAAGTCAAGGCCCCACTGTATGTTCCTGAGCCCATAACTGTCGTGAGGCCCGGAACTGTGCCTCAGGCATCCACTGGCCCTGGGGGTGCTGCTGCCCTGTGAGGCACAGAGCTGGTGTCCCGAGACTAACCGATGGAGTAACCCTGCCTCTCTCTTTCTGACAGTGCTGGTGGCCTCGGTGTGCCCCCGAAAGCCCCAGGCTGTGGAGCGCCACGTCCTTCCAGTCCTCTGGTACTTCCTGACCAACATGATCGGGAACGGGGTGCTGCCGGGGCGCGGTGGGAACGTCCGCGCGGTGGCGTGTCGGCTGTGCCGGTGCCTCCAGCAGCACCTGGGCTCCCGGCTGCAGGACCTGGCCGCCGGCCAGCCACAGCATGTCCTCCAGACCCTCCAGGAGCTCTTGGCCACGGAGTCCCGGTGAGGCAGCCCCGGCCACCGATGGAGGGATGGCACCCACAGCCACCGGCCCTGCCAGCTGGGTTAGAGACAGATCTGAAATAGGCCATCGTTATTTTTGATCTTATTTTATGTTTATGATGGCATCATCTCCTGGTCTGCTTCCCTTAGCGTTCCAGATGTACATAGTGGATTTTGCAGTAGAAATAAAAGAGCGACTTATTTTTCTAAGGTTTTCTTATCTTCCACTCTTTTAACCTCAGAGAATTTTTCAGTAACTAGGTTTGTGGCGCACAGAACAAAACATGGGCACAGCAAAACGGGCTGTGGATGATACCGAGACAGAGAACGAGGGAGAAAAAGTGCAGCAGAGGCCCACACGGTGCAGGCCATTTCGGGGTGTAGCCCCCCAGTCTTTGAACAGCTGGACAACCCCCACCCCAGTCCTGGGACCCTGAGTTGGTCATTCCGTTTCAGTCCATGCGCCAGTGGCCTGGCTGGAGGTGAGTGTAACAAACAGCTCTGGGGGTCGGGGGGACGCTGTGCTTCTGCCTTGCAAACTCTCCGTGCAGCGTCGGTGGGTCCTATGCCAGCCTGCTCATGACATCTGTCCAGCTCAGGGAGAGGCAAGGAGAGTGTGACATCGGCATCCCTAAGCGCCCTCCCTGGAAGTGCCCTTCTGGCTCCTTCTGAAGTAGATGGTGCTTTTGCACTTGAAATGCATCAGTGGAAGCACTGGGCGGAGCATCCGGCTCCACGCGGTAGCAGGGGCCACGTGGAATCACTCAGAGGCTCTGGAATCACTCAGGTTCCCCCAGTTGGGCTGGATCTCGAAGCCGGAGGGTGTGTTGGATCAGGATGGGCCAGGACGCGAGGAAGCAGGGAGGGTGCTGCCCACTGATGGAGTGGCCAGAGAAATGGCGTCCCGGAGGTGAGAGGGGGCCATCAGAGAAATGGCGTCCCGGAGGTGAGAGGGGGCCGTAAGAGAAATGTCATCCTGGAGGTGAGAGGGGGCCGTAAGAGAAATGGCGTCCTGGAGGTGAGAGGGAGCCGTCAGAGAAATGGCGTCCTGGAGGTGAGAGGGGCCGTAAGAGAAATGGCGTCCCGGAGGTGAGAGGGAGCTGTCAGAGAAATGACATCCTGGAGGTGAGAGGGGCCATCAGAGAAATGGCGTCCCGGAGGTGAGAGGTAGCCGTCAGAGAAATGACATCCTGGAGGTGAGAGGGGGCCGTCCGGGGCTTGGTCTCTGGACACGGGAGGAGTGGCTCTGCCTTGATGAGGGTGGGTGGCAGGCTGACAGTGGTGTGACCAGGAAGAATTAGGGCTCAGGGCATCACCTCAAATACAAGGGCAATATGGTCCCAGTCTCAGCCAAAGAGCCCAGGCCCACAGCAACACTCCAGGCCAGGTCACAGGGTCGGCACCGAGGCCCCACCTGACGCAGGGCGGAGTGCCACTGTTCTGAGCCTCTTTTGGAGAGATAGCCCCACAGCAGGCCAGGAAGCCCCCAATCGACTCACCTCTGTGTTTTTAACCCTGTGGGTGCCCCGGGTAGGAGGCCACTTTCCCATCTTGCCCATGTTGCCAGGTTTAACTAGGCCGCCCCTTCCCTCCTCCAAAATGCCCTGGGGTGAGCGTGCGCTGCACACAGCCATCCTGGGGTTTGGGTTTTAATAGGCAGCTTAAGTGTGATTTTGGGTAATTTCGCCCCAGTGTGAGCACTTCTCACCTAATTGTGGTCCCAGCGGGGGCTTCATGGCCTCCACCGGCCCTTGTTTGGTTCCCTCTGAACCGGGTTAAAGGCCTGCTGGACTGGGAGCCATCAAAGATGCTCTGGAGGCTGATTTTAAGTGTTTGCTTATTTTTACATCATGTCATTGGTTTTGTTTGCTGGAGTCTGAGCAAACTTTTGGGGTTTGGTCAGGAGATTGAATTTTCTGCTTGTCAAGATCCTAGAACCTAGCAGAAGTGTAGGGGCTCAGGGACAGAGTCCGGCAGGGATTTCGAAGGCAGAGGTTAAGTTCAAGGTCATTGTCCTGACTCCCTGTGTTCCTGGCCTGTCTTCCAAGTACATTTTCAAACCCCAAGCTTCCCGTCCCCTGTGCTCTGTGAAGCTATTTAAAACAACTGGAAACAGCTGAAAAGCAAACAAGACTGCTTTGCCTGGTCCTGTTTTCCTTCATTATTTCAGGTTTAAATCTCACCCCAGGCACCCTGGGTTCTGGGCGATAGGTCAGGGGTCTGGTGAAGTCAGTGCCAGCAAGACTGAGGCTAATGGGCCTGGCTGATGTGGCTCAGTGGTTGAGCGTCGACCTATGAACCAGGAGGTCATAGTTCGATTCCTGGTCAGGGCACATGTCCGGGCTCAATCCCCAGTGTGGGGCATGCAGAAGACAGCTGATCAATGATTCTCTCTCATCATTGCTGTTTCTCTCCTCTCTCCCTTCCTCTCGGAAATAAATAAAAACATATTTAAAAAACCCCCAAAAGAATGAGGCTAATGGAAGGCCAGTGGTGGGGAATATAGATTGGCCTGGGAGCCAGGGTGGGTTTGAGCCGAGCCACCACTCTTGGCTTGGTTGTGTGTGCGGCCAGAAGCCCTACTTACCTGAGATGTTCTTACCTAAGGTGCAGGTAGGCCTGGGGAGTCAAGCACAGCCAGTGTAATGTGGACTAATACAGGCTCAGAACACGACTTTATGGCAGTTCCACGGAGCCTTTGACGTGGGGCTACTGACTAATGGGCTGTCTCTGAAAAGCTCGCCTTGGAAGATGGGGTGGGTGCTGGCAGCCTGTAGGCCGTCCACCAGATGATCAATTGACGAACGTGTTGACATTTACCACTCACTGCACCGGCTCCCCTGATACACGCCAAACACTGGTTTATTTTAGAAAAAAGAATGTATTTCTCAAAATCCCTTTCCTTCGCGGGGTAGGCTTTATGAGGCACATCTTGCCAAACATACGCTCTTCATAGTGAAAGAAAAGTCTGCTCCGCCTGCTCTGCACTCTAGCCACGTGGGCCGTTTTAGATTCTGATCTGGGGGTAGGATGTGAAGAAGGAAAATAGACGCTGCTTATAGTAAACAACCGCTCAGACCCACGCTGTGGAGGGAAGTTGCAGTTCATTTTCAAGACTGTATTTGTGCTTGCAAAGAGCTGTCACTGCTCCGCCAGAATATGCTATTTGCTTGTTCCCCTCAGGAGTCCTTCTGACGGAACCGGGAAATGTGCTTTCCCCGGGGCTGAACTGTCTGCTGTGCGACCGACGTGTTGATGGAGAGTTGGCTGAGGGCCTCCCTCTCCCCAGCTCGGGGGTCTTCCTGGGTGCGGAGGAGGAGGGGGAGGAGGAGAGGGGGTCATTGTGGGTGTGGAGGAGGAGGGGGTTCATACACCCCCGAAAGGAGCTGGCCCAAATAAGAATAGGGGTGTATTATGCACCCCTTAAATGACTCTCCTGTGCTGGGCTCCCTGTTGTCTTTATAAACAACGTTCCTTCTTGGTTTCCAACCCTGTGAAGAAAAGGTGCAGACTGTTGAGTCCCCGAAGGGTTGGGTCCATGGCTTAATTAATTTAAAAAGACAAAACAAAACCCAAAACCTGCCCTTCCGTTTCCCTTGAGCACAGAAGTCGACTGGGCCCAGTAAGGCCAAGGTTCTTGAGGGGCGGGTAAGAGTGACCCACTTGAGAAGCTGTGGGACTGGGCTTGTCCTCCTGGCCGCCAGCTGTGCTCTCCAAGGCAGAAGCCAAGGCATGGGTTTGACCAAAGGAAGGCCTGGTCTCCAGGAGGCTCAAAACCGAGCTGATGCCACCCACACAAGCGGTCCGTTGTGGTGGATTTAAGTTCTTTTGTTCAGAGTCTAATTTGCAAATGATTTGGGCTAACTCTGGGAGTTGGGATGGTGGCCCAAAAAGCACATCTTTGACCCATCTGCTCCCGTGCCAGCTTGGTCCTGCTTCTCCTTTGACCTTTACTGGCTCGCAGCCCCTGGGCCTTGGCAACCCCTCCTCATACGCCCCAGGGAAGCTGACTGGGGATTCTTGAAGCCTTTGGGTCCTTGGGCAACATGACGTCTACTGAGCTCGTTGTCCCCGCTGCCTGAGCCTGGAGGCTTCTGGGACCTCTCATTACATCACACATGGGGAAACATTGCAGCGCCCAGCACTGTCCTGGCACAAGTGGGTGCTCAGGAATTGCAGAGGGTGAGGAGCATGACCTGCTCTATGGCTGATGGCAGGAATGCTGCCCGCAGCTCGAAGCGTGGGTGTTGGCTGCAGCTTACCAGCCTAGCTCGGGGGAGGGGCAGCCCTTCATCTCAGAGAGCTTCCGCCAGGCACAAGGATGGAGGCCAGCAATGGGTCATTCCAGACTCTTCCAGGGCGTTCTCTCTGACGCTGACCCCTCCATGGTATAACATGCTGCCCGGCTCCCGGCTGCCCACCCGTAGCTCCTGTCGTGGCAGCCAGGTGCTCAGGCCAGTCCCAAACCTCTAAGACAAGGCCCTTTCCAGGGCCGGGTGGGGGTGGGGCGGGAGGCGTTGGACAGGCAGACTCCTCCTTTCTGTGGGCCTGGCTCCCGCTTCTATCCTGGTGCTAGTTCTTCAGACCTCGGGGAGTCCTGCCCCTAAAGCCTGGCACAGAGCGGGCTCCACTTCCTGTCCAGTCCTCTGGCCTGGGAGCTGGGTCTCCCCACACCGTCAGCCCCCACTCCTGCCTCGTTACCTGGCTGCAGCCCTGGTGCCCTCCGGTCCAGTTTAAGAACCCATTGTGGCCCTCGAGTCAAAAAGTTTGCCCACCCCTGTGCTAGTCACTAAACTTTTTATTGCCCACACATTGTATCCCCAGCCATGTCCCTGTCCAGTCTCCCTGCAGCTGGGGTTCTGCTCTGTTTCTTCAGACCTCGGGGAGTCCTGCCCCTAAAGCCTGGCACAGGGCGGGCTCCACTTCCTGTCCAGTCCTCTGGCCTGGGAGCTGGGTCTCTCCACATGGTCAGCCCCCACCCCTGCCTCGTTACCTGGCTGCAGGCCTGGTGCTGCAGTTAGACTGCCCAGCCTTATATCAAGCAAGTTTCCTAGACCTGATGTTCTCACACATTTACCT